CGATCTACACGCTGCGAGCCGCCATCTTTTTTTTCTTCCCAATGAAACTGCTGACGATGAAGCCGTCGGAAATATCGTTCCGCGGAGGACTTTTGCATTTCGCGCGATTACCCGTCCGCCGAAACGTTCACGATAACGAAGCAATTACCTTAATTCAGTATTCCCCCATCGATTCCCATTACAACGATCCGGACACCCGTGGCAACGTCCGTCAGCACGTAGGGATACGGTGCTTGCAGACATCGATCACTGGAAACTAGTTCTCGCGTTTGTAAAGGCCGCTCGTAATTGTCGATTTTTATTGAAATATTCAAAGCTAAAAGAAAAACGTCTCGCGCGTTACACTCCAGGTGTAAACAAACGATCGGTAATTGAAACAAACAGTCACGAACAACCGCATACCGATATCTCGTTCCCGAGTGTACCGCGAACGATCCGATTAAATTCTCCGCTATCGATGAATCGCTCCGAGGCGAACCGATCGTTCGATCGGTTTAATAACCGGTCGCAGCGAGCGAGACTCCGAATGGCTTTCCTGTCCCCGACATCCGGTTCACATGGTAATCGGCCGATCGTGGCGAGTCAGCGTGCCGTCGGGACGTTAATCGTTAATCATCGATCTCTCGTTGCTCGCGCGGCCGTCTAATCGATATATACATACATATACTACTCTCCTTCGATTAGAAGCGAATACGCGGAAATTCCCCGAACGGATCCGGCAGAACGGAAAAAAAGGTTCCACGCGACGGACAGAGAAAAAAGAAGAAGAAGAGATCCAGTTTCCCGAGACGCGTGTACGATTTCCGTTTCGCCGAGCGATTTCCGGTTTACGGTCGAACGGCCGCCGCTCTAGACTGGCACGCACAGTCTGCCTGTCCGCCGCGCGTTTTCGGGCGTGTGCGTACACACGCGACGAGCCAACAGAGGACGACGGGGAGGAGAGAATCAATCTTGGATTCGCTGACAGAAAACAAACCTCGAGGCGAAGTTAATTCAGTTGCAGTTGTAGGTTATCTTCGGTTTGTACGACAGTTGGGAATATGTACGGCCACATCGGTAAATCCCGTACGGTTCTGCAGGGCCGAACGGAAGAGTCACCGGATTTACCATCGCGACGTCCTACGTTTTCGACTCCCGAGAAAATCGGATACTCTGGTTGGACCCTCGGTTCCCTCCCTTCTTCCCCCTCTCTCTCTATCCGTCTCTCTTTCTCTCTCCTCCTATATCTTTATTCTCCTTTCTAGCCGCCGAGGGGGCTTCGCTCGTCCTTCTCAATGTTTCGATCCCGCGGATTAATCGTCGCAACACCTATTCGTCGTTCGTTAGCGGTTCAACGGCGACCGACGGATCCAGAGGATGAATCGTACAAAGACTACGAAGAGACCGAGCGACCAGTAGCCCCTCCCTCCTCTTTAACCGACTCGGACAGGAACGACGGCGAGGCCGGAGTGGCGCAGGTCGGGCGCCATCTGCAATTCCAATTCTGATTCTGGTAGCCGTGCACGGTGTCCTCACACGCCCCCACTTCCTTCGCCTGGTCTCATCCTGAAGCCCTCGGACCAGCAGGAGCTGAACAGTTTGAAATATTTATTTTTCCATGATATCCGTACGCTGATCGTCGCCGTCGACGATTTTCCGTCGCGTTCATTTACCGTAGGGTTGGTTCCCCCCTCCCCCCGATGGAAACCATAGGATCCGTGAAAGCATCGACACGATAAACATCCCTCGTCCGGGATCCGTTCGAACAGGTTCTTAAATGTCTTGGGAATTAACGTCGATGATTACAATAATTAATTATGGGAATATGTACTCTTGAGAGATCTATACGGAATTTTGTTTGGCTGTCGAACTCTTACTGTTCCACTGAATGGAAGAACGCGGAAAATATTGCTTAATTATTTATTAACAACTCGGCTATAGATAGCCTGTCATTTGCATCGGTGAATGTACTTTGTTCCGGGAATTTTATAAGTGACTTTGGTAAGCTCTTAGTTGTAAACGTGTTTGTGATTGTTAGGACTTGTTAATGGAACCTGCAACCGGCAAACCTGTATACTTTTGTTTATTATTTTATCGTGACATCTTTCTAGACAAGGTGTATTTTATTGTTGATCAGTTTATACTGTTGTGTGGAGGAATTATTAAGAAATGCTTATTGTTTGACGGGAATATTGACGTTACTATTATATTCCATGCTACGTTTTCGTGGATTAATCTACGCGAGGTTTCCCCTTCTTTTAACCTGCACCTCCTACTTTGGAAGATTCGACGCTATCAGATTACAGGCCACGGTACAATCGCATATCCGACATTTATAGTTCGCTTCGGTTCGAACTATTTTCCAAATAATTCCCGGCAGAATGTCATGGTTTATTTAGCGTGTACACAGCACTGTTTCTTTTATCCACTAATCGCACTCACGTAGATTCGCTGCGTGACATCACACGTGTGCGTACCTCGCACGTATGTGCATTGCTATAGAAGCTATGCCGGAGTAACTTTTGAATCGATGTTTAAATAAAATAAGATTAAATGAAAAATGAAATAAAATTGAGAACGTTCGTGGACGTGCCTCTATAATTGTTGCAGAATTTTTTGTAATTAAAACGGATACGAGGAAAGTTGATACACGAAGTCACGTTGACATATAGAAACAATGATAAAAAAATATATGGTGATTAGGTAGGTAGACTTTTTAATTAATTGGTTGTTATAGTGGTGACTCGAAATAATGAAATCGAGTTAATCGGAGATCGAGAAACGATTTGTTTGTTAGAACTACCTATTAACCTAGAAAATATAACTAATTAAGTCCGTGCAATGGTGTTCTTGCTGTTCGATCGAACGTTCGATTCAGATGAATTATTAGTGGCAACTGTGGCCGAAAGTTCTTTCTACGTGTCAGTTCTAAGGAAATAAATAGTACGATCTTTCAGTGGTACGCGTACGGACGTTTCTTTCTAGAGCATTCCGACGATAAGATAAAACAACTCGATAGAATACATATGTACGTGTGTATGGTCTTTTGGTATTGACCAATTGCTGAATAAATTAAACAGCTTTTTGTGATTTTCGTATTATATAAATGGGAGACAATTGTTTATTAATTATCGCTTCGTTGAATTTGAAACAAACTGATGTTAAACCTTAGGATGGGAAGAGGTGATTATTAATTTTATTAATACTAAATTTGAAAGGGATGTGAAATTAAATACGAAATAATTCGAACATAATTAGCGTTTCCATTTTTTTCGAAAGAAATCTTTTTTTTAGAACATTTTTCTATTGGAATTATTTATTAATTAATGTTTAATATAATATCTATTATTAGTGTACATCTGCTTCCTCGGTGTTATAGATATAGATATAATATTTGGTCCGAAAATATGACTAAAATTTTCGTTGGACCACCATTTTGCAACTTTCATTTCTACCGGTTGAAATAGATGTGTAACCAGGCTAATTGCGATTTATGAAATTTGAAGAAGTACTTGTAAAATAAAATTAATAAAACTTTCCGATCGATTTAATAAAACGAAATTATTTGAGTGTCATATTAGATACGAAAATAGAGTTGAACAATAAAGTAGGATAGGTTATTAATATGAATAATATAATCATGAAGATTTACTTTGAAATCAATATTATATCGATTATCTTCGGTTCGGTACGTGTCTATACATTGACGTTTTTCAAGTGTACAGGAAGTAATTAACGTAATTGAAGGTTGCCGTTCTTTTTGTTGTAGAACAGAGGATAAGGAAATATAAACAATCCTATATATTTGATATTATTTATAATTAACGTTTTTATAAAAATCTTTATTTTCTGTAACAAAAGTGTAAGTGTATATAATGTCAAATGTATGTTCTGTTAATGCAGGTTTCCAATGTTACAATTGGAATATATTAATTTCATTGTTGTTGCAATGTATTAGTTTCAATTGCTTACAACCTACAAATTAAATGCTATTTTTCCCCTTCAACCAGTAATGTATATTATTCGTATATATCTTTAATACTTTGATTGTACATCAAAAGAATTGCCTTCTAGTCACTTCAGCTGTTCCTTCAAGTTGTCTGCCAATTTGTTCATAAATTCAAATGTTTCTAAGTAATCAGATCTAGTAACATTATTCATGCCTTTAATACAAATTGCAAGATCCTTAGTCATAAAACCTGATTCAATAGTATTAATGCAGACTTTCTCCAAAGTTTCTGCGAATGTCTTTAAAGACTCATTTTTATCTAGTTTCGCACGGTGAAGCAAACCTCTTGTCCATGCAAAGATCGAAGCAATGGGATTAGTGGAAGTCTCTTTTCCTTGCTGGTACTGACGATAATGTCTAGTAACAGTACCATGGGCAGCTTCCGCTTCTACTGTACGACCATCTGGACAAATCAGAACCGAAGTCATCAAACCTAGGGATCCGTATCCTTGTGCCACAGAATCAGATTGAACATCTCCATCATAATTCTTGCAAGACCATACAAAACCACCCTCTGACTTCATTGCATACGCTACCATATCATCGATTAAACGATGCTCATACCAAAGCTTTTTAGCTTCAAACTGTGTTTTATATTCTTTGTCATATATTTCCTGGAAAATGTCTTTGAACCTTCCATCATACTTCTTAAGAATTGTATTCTTTGTTGAAAGATACAAAGGATAATCGTTCGACAGAGCATACTGGAAAGAGCTGTGAGCAAAAGCACGAATACTTTCATCCGTATTATACTGAGCTTGAGCAATTCCAGGGCCCTTAAAGGAGTGAACTGTATGTTGAATTTTTTCTCCATTATCCCCAGTCCACGAGAGTTCAAGTTTGCCTGGTCCAGGTACTACAAAATCTACGGCTTTATATTGATCCGCATGAGCGTGTCTACCAATAATAATTGGTTTGGTCCAGCCAGTTACTAAACGAGGGATATTTTTACAGATGATGGCCTCACGGAAAACTGTGCCACCCAAAATATTTCTGATAGTACCATTTGGACTTTTCCACATTTGTTTTAACTTAAATTCTTCTACTCTCTTTTCATCGGGTGTAATAGTAGCACATTTAATTCCTACATTGTATTTCTTAATAGCTTCTGCACATTCCACAGTTACTTTGTCGTCAGTTTTATCTCGGTTTTCTATGCCTAAATCATAAGTGTGCAATTCGATATCTAAATAAGGTAAAATCAGTTTTTCTTTAATAGAATCCCAAATGATTCTGGTCATTTCATCTCCCAAAACATCAACGACAGCTCCTGCCTAAAAGAAATCAATTGAAATCAATGAAAAAGTAAATTAAAAAAAAAAATATATATATAAAAACTACTTTAATACGAAAACTATTATTTCTCGAAGTAATTAAACTAAAAAAAAATTCTGTTTGTGATACGATCAACGCCAATATAAAAGTTTATAGATACACATATGTATAGTATCACAGGTGTTAATGATATAGCACTATTAGTCACTCACCTTTATTTTAGCCATTGTCACAGATGAAACACTGAACGTCCTAACGAATGAATGTGTGGTTTGGCAATGAGACGAGCGAATCTTTAATGATAATATTCGCGATAAAGTAGCGCTGTTACTAGCTGATTCGATGTTCGCTACACTCCTTATGAAATGTAGATTCGCTCTAACTAAACAGTGGGGCAAAAACATGGCAACCGTTCCGTCGTTACCTACTTTTCACTTTCCGTTATTCTCGAGATCTCCACGTCGTACGATCGCAAAATCTTTATCTGTTATCTTCTTGACCATAAAATTTAACTTCGTACGAATTATCGCTAGCGTTACATGTGTTACAGTTATTTTAGACAGTTTATCATAATACGCTTATTATACGAAACGAAATTTTCGTAATCGTTATAAATTCTTTTTTCTCAATCTGCTCTACTTTACGAAAAATTACAAATTGTATCAACGATCGATACGTACATGAGAACGATTAAATCGATAAATCATTTCGTTTAGAAGAAAACATAGTACAGCTCCTCTTATCTACTGAAAAATTCCTGTTATCTGTGGAGTTTGAACCGTAATGAGTAAACAATATTTACGTACGAAAATTTGAATGCTGTTAGTGCAGAATTTTTCGACGAACATGTTCGTAATTTCGTTTGTGCTCTCGATAGAAAAATACGTGCACGCCTACAGTGGAGATTTCCCATTTTACGATCACATTCGTCGAAATATTCCGAACAAAGAGTAAGGTTTCAAAATTATTTTATTAATCGTTGATCGTACAAATGATTAAAATGTTTAGTACAAATAAATAATATTCGATTAACATATGGTGGTCTCAGATGAAGTGTTCCAAACGAAAGAATTTAGTTTCTAAGTTATCGTAATCCACTCGTGTTTCCTTCGTTACGACTGTGTCGTCTTAATTACTAAATCATGTGTTCTCTATGCAGATGAGACGACAATAATATCCGATTCTGACGTCAGCGATTCCAAACACAATGGACACGTTTTCAAAAGACATTTTCCTGTTCTATTTTTGAGTACCTTTTTCTATATCCGCTGAGAATCTCTTGTGCAATAAGAATTATCGATTATCACGTTTGTAATTAATATTCAAATGTTTTGCACGCTATGACGTTAAAACCGGTTATTGCGCCATCTACGGTGAAACATCCAAGCTACTGACGGGAATATTGGATGACAGTTCCAGTGTTTTGCCGTAGATGGCACTTGACAAATTTTTAAACGTAAAGGACTATGTATGTGTATTAAAAAATGTTTAGTATATAGTGTACAATATTGTCTGGAGGAACTCAATAAACAAGAATTATGATTTATATAACAATTTTATATTTTTCAGTATTATACTATAATAATTCTAACGCATGGTATACTAAGTTTTAGACATTTGACAAAAACTTTAAATGTCCCAGTAATATAACAAAACTAATGAGTCTAAGTATTATGTTGTTGCCAAAACAGTTGGATTTTCACAGTCACACCGTGTAAATAAATTAAATGACAAAGGATTGTATTATGTTCTTGAAATGTAAACTTTCCATTCAAACTTTTCCGCCATTAAATCTGGAACTTTAAAGAAAACTGTTTCACACACATAATAAGAAATTATGCAACTATGATGGTAGAACAAATAACTGATAATTATTCAAAAGATTTATCGACGGACATAAACGTATACTTTAATTATTGTTTTTCTAGTGAAACGGTTAGATTGGTTGTATGTAGTGTCCGAAATTAGACCTCTAACCTCTTCGAAGAGATAATGAAATGCTAAACTCCCGATGACTTTTCATTTTGAGAATTATTTCTGTTTCGTTAGCGTCAGAAATGATTCTACTTAGAAGATTATTTATAAAAGGTATCATTTGTCAGAGATTAGAATATCGTACTCCAATAATAAAACATAGGCAAATATTTTATACATCTTTGAAACCGTCGATCCGAATCAACGGAAAAACATGTATATTTTCTACGTTAAGATATCGTTGCAAGAGTGCCGAGCAAGCAAAAATTTCAAATGCAACCGTACCTCCTGCGACGAGAGCAAAGAAAATATCGGAACTTAGAAGCCTGATCAAGTTAGCTGCACCTGAAAAATGGAGATTGTTTGGTGCCATTGCATTTCTAGTAGTTTCATCTGCTGTTACAATGGCAGTACCATTTTGTTTAGGAAAAATCATTGATATCATCTATACTAATGACATAGAGAACATGAAAAAAAATCTGAATCAATTATGCATCATTTTGTTTGGAGTATTCGTTATTGGAGCTATATGTAACTTTGCCAGAGTGTACTTGATGACTACAACTGGACATAGAGTCACTCAGTCTTTAAGAAAACAATTGTACAGTGCAATCTTACGTCAAGAAACTGCAATGTTTGATAAATGTGGCACAGGAGAACTAGTAGGCAGATTATCTGGTATGTTCTTTATTTTCACACACATATATATATCATACATTATTGATTTCTTAATTTTAGGAGATACCCAACTTGTAAGCTATGCCTTAACTAGCAACATATCAAATGGACTACGTTCTGCTATTATGAGCATTAGTGGAATGGCCATGATGTTCTATGTTTCGCCTACATTGGCTGGTGTTGGTTTAAGCATAGTGCCACCAATTGCTGGTTTAGCTATAGTTTTTGGTCGGTATTTGAAAAAAATATCTAAAGATATACAAACCAATTTAGCTGCATTAAACACAATAACCGAAGAAAAGATTTCTAATGTAAGAACAGTGAAAGCTTTTGCCAAAGAAACATCTGAAATTAAACGCTATAATTCCCAGTTAGAAAAAATGCTTAGAGTGTGTTACAAAGAAAGTTTGTATAGAGGAATATTTTTTGGACTGACCGGTTTCTCAGGAAATGCAGTTGTTCTTTCTGTTTTGTATTATGGCGGTGTTATGGTCTCTGATTCTTCTATTACAGTTGGAAATTTAAGTTCTTTCTTATTATATGCAGCATACGTAGGTATTTCTTTAAATGGATTATCCTCATTTTACGTTGAATTAAATAAAGCACTAGGTGCAAATACACGTATTAATGAATTAATTCAAAGACAGCCAGAGATACCTATTCAAGGTGGTAAAATTTTAGATAAAGAACTATCGGGTGATATTGAATTTCGAAATCTGAGTTTTGCTTATCCTACAAGAAATAATATACATGTTTTGGATAACTTCAATTTAAAAATCCCAAAATGTACAGTAGTTGCTATTGTTGGTTCATCAGGTTCTGGAAAGTCTACGATAGCTTCACTTCTATTAAGACTTTATGATCCAGATTCAGGATGCATACTTTTAGATAATCATGATCTTAGGTCTCTTGATCCTACGTGGGTAAAATCTCAAATGAGTATTGTTTCCCAAGAGCCAGTTCTATTTAGTGGCACAATACGAGAGAATATATTGTATGGAACAGAGGATTCAACGAAATGTGACATAGAAGATGTTGCACAGAGTGCATATGTTTCACAATTTTCAAAATACATGCCAAATGGTTTAGATACTATGATCGGGGAACGAGGCATTACACTCAGTGGAGGACAAAGACAAAGAATTGCTATTGCTAGAGCATTGATAAGGGTAAGACCATTTGTAAATTGATATTTATCTATCTACTTATGTAAGTTTTATTTTAAAGTAACTTTGTATTTAGCAACCAAAAATATTAATCTTGGACGAAGCAACGAGCGCGCTAGATGCAGAAAGTGAACATTACGTTCAGCAAGCTCTAAAAAATGCTGTTAAAGGACGCACTGTATTAACAATAGCCCACAGACTTAGTACGATAAAAAATGCTGATCAGATTATAGTTTTGAACCAGGGACAAGTGGCAGAAACTGGAACGTACAAAGAACTTATGGATATAGATAATGGTCACTTCCATAAATTGGTGCAGCATCAGACATTTACCTAAATCTGCATACTACTAAACTAATTAGGAATTGAGTAAATTCAACAGGAATTGGATTGAAATCATGAACAAAGGATATTGAAAATCACATTACACTTGTAATAAATAATTAGTAAATTTATTAATTTAATTTCTGAAATACAATATCTTATTCTGTAATTTATTAATTACGTTTTAATTATTGATGATTCCTTTATACCAGTGACATTTGTTAAGAATGTTTTTAAATAATATGAAAAAGGTGTGTACTTAAATAACTCTTACAATTACTGACTTTATTATTTCATTATTTACTTTTCCGTTTTTCATCTGCAGGATGTATAAACTCGTTGATAAGATATATCGATACATCAACAAAATTCGGAGGTGGAAATGAAATTTATATTCAATATGCTCTGTTTAATCTAATAAAATAATTTGGGCAACGCATGAAGTACTTATTAACAGGTTGTAACTTGTGTTAATACAAAAATCACAAAGCCCTGTGTACGTATGTGTGTATATATATCATTTCTGATCTAAGGTGTAAGGCAGGTATTATAAATAATTCCACTTTGGTAATAATTTTTAATATATTTTCCTATAAAATAATGTACACTGCTATTTTAAGCTATCAATGTATCTTATATATCGTCGATCTATGTTATCTTTAAATTAATATCCCATTACTACAATTATATGAGAATAATCTACTTCAAACCCTGTGTATAAGTAAAAATATTCATTATAACACACGATTAGAAGTAAATTGTTTCAATTAAATTAGTTGAATTTCTGTTTTCAATCATTACACGGGTCTGTTGAATACTACATGTTTTTTTCAGGAAATGAAAGAACATTATTATACCCTTGTTATCCAATAAGTATTCATCTATAATTTCTCTATGAAAAAACATAGCAAGGAATAAAGAAAGCAATAAAATTTATTTGTCTAACATGAAAAAACGATTGATACTTTTTAATCTTGCTATATCTTATACTTTTCTATGTAGGAAATATGTGTAACAAGGACATTCATTAATTAATTACATCTTGAATCATAAAATGGAATTGATCCTTCAATTTCATTTACGCTTATTATAATTGGAACATCCTTAATCTTCAGTCATCTGTGGGAAAACTGTGCCTAACAAGTTGTGAAGTTTTAAAAATTGACGCATTTTATTAATTACCAATTAACTCACCAATTATTTCATAAAATTTCAAAATATTTGCTTATATAAAACATTTATTAGCTGAACACTGAGAACCTGAATTTGGAATGCAATTCAAGCTATGGTCATACAAGAAATTAGCTCCTTTCACAGATAAAAAGTATTTTAAAACACCAGAATGCATATTTCAAATGCTCTTTGTTCACAGAACTATCACACGTCACATTTGTTAGGAGCTACATTAGAATTTCTTATGCTCCGGTCACAAGCACAGCCATACCCTAAATAGAAACTTTATTTGTATAAATTTATGACGAAACTTTTTACAATTCGACTTGAGCAGAAACTCAAATCGTAGTTACAACTGGTCGTTAATAGTATAACATCTTGGGAGTAGGTAGTTCTTTGCTTTCTACAGGAGCTTAGAAATTCATACGCACAAGTTTCTGTACAAGTAAATACCAAAATTTATCAAATTTAATTGTAATTATAAAGTCAATAAACCAGTAAATAATACATAATTGTACAATTCTCTGTGACTTTTATACTATTTTCTCATGTTTTATATGTCGAATCGTGTAATAGAATTAATAAAAATGACACTTCAATTATAATAAGAATTTTCTTACGTAGACAAGTTTTCATCCTGTTTGTTTCATGTTTTTTAAGTAGAACAAATTCGAGCATTAAAAGGAATTGAACAATCAATTTAAACATTATTAACTTTGCGATGGATGAGTTATTTCTTGTTCCATTGGTTCATCATCTTGTTGAAACATTGATGAAGTTTCTTCATCATCTACTTCCATCAGTTCTGCTGTATTTTCTTCTTTTTTATTTGTAACAGTTTCCATTATCGTGTCATTATCTTCTACATTAGATGCGATAGTAGCTATATTATTACCTTGTAATTCTATCATATCACTGCTTTCAATAGACATTTTTTCTTCGCATTCTGACTGACACGCAACTATAGGGTTTTGATTCTCAGACTCTTCTAGAAGTTCAACAATGGGTGTAGAATCTTCCTCTTTGACACTGACAGGTTCTGCATCTTTAGGTTCTTCTATGATAGGAATTGGTTCAGGTACTATAGATTTAATTACTCTGGCATCATCTTCTATAGCTTCCGTTATAGTCAAACTTTCCTTCTCTTGGTGTTCGCTAGTACTTTCCTTTATATCATCTTCAGAACATGGTTCCTCCACTATAGGTTTTAATTCTTTAATTAATTGTACTTTTCTACTTTGATCTTTCACATTTTTCACATCTGTAGATGGATTTTTGGATATACTTGCAGATGAAGTTCCAACTGAAACTGTTTCAGCAGCTGATAAGTGTAAATTACCAATAAGTTTATTCGAATTACTTGCCGAAGAAGTATCTCCTGTGCTAGTATCGTTTGAAGGTAAAGTCTCTTTCTCATCTATATTTGTACCAGGTGCATCAGTAATTGTTTCTGTATTAACTGCATTAATGCTGGACTTCGCAGTATCTCCAAAATTCATATCAGAAGTATTTAATAAATTATCAACCACTGGATCCATTGATTCTTTATTATTTATTGATTTAGATTCCATGTCAGACTTAATCGATACGTCGTTAACCTTATTTGGTCCTTCTTGTACATGTGCCTGCATCGAACCAACTTTCATCTTCTCGTTCACTTTAGAATTATCTAAATAAAATTTGGATGATTTATTTTCACTTGAGCTGAAGTCCTTTGTTTGAAAAGTTGTTTGTAATTTCCTTGTTGAGTCTACACCATCTCCATCTTCATTCTCCAAGTCTAAACTAGGTTGAGAACTAGTATCCTCGTTCATTATACCTTCTGGGACATCATTTGTTATTCCAGAAGTTTCAGAAACTATAGACGACAAATTTTGTATAGTAGGTTCTATTTGTGGCTCTTGAGTCTGTGTTTGAGATGTTAAATTCGAAACACCAGAAAATTCTGACGTATTCGGTACAAAATTAGATCCAGTTATATCTGCCTTGGAGGACATTGATTCAGCCTTCTCTTGAGAAACTTCTTCTGCGCCAAATACATTTTTTGCAACAGCGGTAGTTGGTACGACAGTCTGTAACATGGGTGCTTCATTTTCAACAGTGTGTACGCTAATAGTAACGGTAGAAGGGCAGTCCTTTTCCCAATATTCCATTTCTACATCCTGAGGGGGTTGCGTGGCAGAAGTATCTTCGTCCACAGATCCATTTACCATACCATCTCCATTTTCATTTCTCCTGGCAATTGGTCCTGGTTCTCTAGTAGAAACAACCAAAATATTCTTTTCTATGGCACGCATGAATTTGTCAACCCTATTGTATTCCTTACGCGGTGCTGTTAGTAGTTCGCAGATTCTCTGGACAGTGAACGGTGCATTTGCAAAGGATTCCAAACGTTCCAAAAGATTGCTCTTCATGGTGTCATAATTAAAATGCTCGACGTTAGGGCATGGTGCAAGTTCCAGGGTTGGACAACTCTCGTAAAAGTCAGTCATCACGCGGGTAAGCTTTTCCCGAAACAACGTTTTAATCAGTGACCACTGATAAACAGGATCACCGGTTTTCGCGACCCAACACAAATAGTCTTCTAGCTCTCGAGGTATCTCGCTCGGACGCATTTTCTGAAACTCGTCGAGCGCCTGCAACACCTCCTCCAAATTTTCCATGTTCTCCGCCTACTACCCCCGCTCTGCCTCCTTCGTTTCCCGAAGAATTTTCGTCGACACTTTTCCGCAAAAATTCTAAAAATTGTTAGCAGTGAAACTTTATACAGGAGAAACAACGAAAAACGCAAACACACCGGGCACTGCACAGCAACAATAAAAGGATGGGGGAACGAAGCAGGGGTACCAATCATTCGAAAAACATGTCATCGTGACAGCGTTGGTTAGCTTTCAGAAACTTAATTGCATTATATTATTATACGTTCGGCCGAATGATCCTCCCTTTATATAAATTTACCGTTCAATTTTTATAATTTACCTTTATTCCGAATATTCCCGTCGACTGAAACTTGTCTTTCTTTCATTATACATCGAAATATGGAATATATTGATTTATAAAATTAAATTTACATCACTAAAGAACTATGCGGGTATACATATATATATTTTCGTTCTAGAAATATTTTATTTGTAATCGCGATGATACAACGTTAAATTTGGATTTCATAATTCTATATCTACTACAAAATTGAATGGGGCGAATGACGATCAGTTATTTTTAATAACGTTACTGTAAAAGAAAGAAAGTAACTATTTCATTTTCTACACTTATATAGTGGTACTAATAATGTCTAAACACACGTAGTTTATTATAGAACAATTACAAATTAATTAACTGTGGAAATTTAAAACATAGTAGGACCGAAAAAATAATTTGTATTAAAAATTTCAATGATTTACGAGACATTCAATAATATAAAATATAATTTTAAACGAAAAAATCTATTGATTTTCGACAATATATTAAATAAAAGATATCGTAATTTGGTAAGCGAGATAAAAATTCAGTTACCGTTATAATTAAATATTTGTTGCACAAGATGGAATTTCTATATTCTATATTATCAAAATAATCGTACACGATAAATTATATGTAAATGAAGGTGGGGAAATTAATGTACAACTTTATATAGATTCTGAAATATCACATTTCATAGATATTATATGGATTTATTTCAACATACCGTACGATTTTGAACTTTGATTGGACATTAAGATTTGGTAACATGTACATGTATAAACAATCATGTTAATCGAGTAAAATGACATGCGTAAATTCTTAAATTTTATAATATATCATCTTAATAATCATACAAGGAATAAATATAATTGTTCGAATATAATTATGCATTTGAAAGTTACAAAAATACCATTTGTATTTCAGTCTTATTCATGATTGTAGTAAAAACAGACTTCTTATGACAAGGTCCAACAGTGTTCTACCAAGAGATACTTCTCCAATACTAACAGTAATTAATCACATAACATGTGTCTCTTTCAAATGCACAACTAGTAGTCGGTAAATAAGAA